GTGTTGACAAATGAAGCAGTGGTCCCAATGTCTGCAATAGCGCTATATTGTGCACATCTATTCCATTTCCCAAACTATGATGATGCAATACACTAGGACAAGCCTGTTATTTTGTTGGGCTAATGGAGAGATGTTGAGTCATTGATCGTAGTTTCCCTCAAAGGCATAAAGGTCTGTCTCCCGCTGCGTCGTTCTGCTGCGTTGCTGCTACAGTGTGTAGAAGTGAGGTCATACTTCATACATAGCTTTTCCGGTCATGACCACCAGTGTCAACTCAAGTGTAAATAGTCACACGTGAAAATAACCCCTTTGCCTCACAGCACAACTTCTCGCGTCCTATAGAATACATAGGACAGGAATAGGATAGAAATTATAAGATATATATATATATATATATATATATATATATATATATATATATATATATAGATAGATGAGCTGCAAAAACCTAAAAAATGTCAAATAAATTCTGGTAAAATTCTATCGTCAAAAATATGCCACTACACAAAGCTGTACGAGAACATTTCTGGTCATATAGCACAAGTACTACTAGGCACAAGTAGATGAAGTGTTTCCGTTTTGCACTTATTGCCTGTAAAAGATATATTTGAATTTTGCACTTTGCAGGCACACATTTAGGCCCCCAAACATATTTGCGATGGGATCGTCATGCGTTAATTAAAATGGAGGACACGCTGCAATACAGTTGTGTTTATACGGACAATTAGAGCACAAAGAATAATGCACAAAAATAATACTACATGAACTCAAATTGAGCACAAACTACAAATCGCAAGTGATTTAAAGAAAAAACACAATGGTTAAGCACAAATAAAAAAGTATTTCTGCACCTGTTTCCTGCCCCGTGAATTGAAAAAGGGATTTGCTGATTACGTAAGGAACACACAAAATCCTGTTGGCTGTATTTCCAAATAATACCGTGATATTATAGAATGTCGTTGTGTTTCTAGATGAATATTCACCTTGTATTGATACTGTCAATGAATAATGGACTAACCATTATATAATGTCACTTTGTTTGTCACACATCTACGCTTGCAGAGTCAAAAATGTACAGATAATTTATTTTACTATCCTCTTTATGTTATTCCCTGTTGTTACTCTGCAGTGTATCTCTTGTTGACAATGTTTGGTTATTATGAATATGCCAGAGTTTCTTCAGAAGACATTTTAACTTCTGGTTGAACTGCCATCACCAGGAGACAATCATTGTTGGCAAATAATAAGTAGGACGCCATTTTTGTATAAGTGTTAATCATCCGTAATCATCATCTAAGCTTGCCTTGTGTTGAAGACGGTAATATTATTTTTCTTATTGCAATATTCAAAAGCCATGGTGTTAGGGATTTAAAGTCTATATTTATATTTATATATATTTGCTGTATATGTTGTGTGTATATTTGATTGATGAACAGAATTATCTATTTAAAGGTGACCAGGATATATTTTCAATTTGTTTCACGTGCAATTTAATTGTGTATTGTAAAGACTTCTATCTTCTCTCTATTTTGTAGTGTGTGAATCTGATGTGAATGTGGTGGCTAAACCAAGGTGACAGACGGGATGGGTAAAATCTTGCTGTGAGTAATCTCATCATAGCCTTGTAACGTGAAAGTAGCAAGCATTCACTGCTTTGTTTTCTTTTATTCACTTTGGTTTCATTGAATGTTTGTCCTTCTGACTATTTTCTGTTCTAAGGTCAAGTGCTCCTGTCTTCAGACCTCTCTGCTAAAGCCTCTGTGCTACGCTTTAGTTAGTAGGCATTTTTGTAATGCAATTAAAATACAGGCAGCTTTGCTTATAAGTGCATCATGTAACTCCTTGTTGACGTTGTAAGTATGTGTATGTAATCAAATTCAGCTGATAGAATTTTCTCAAGCAAAGTATATGAATGTCTTAAACATGACTAAATCCTTTTAACGGCAAATGTGAGATAACGTTGAATGTGAATACAATTGCACTTTTTCACTTAAAATTCCCCAAAATATAGTTTTGATTTGTTATTTTCATGTATATGGTCGCTATGATACTCAAGCACAGTCTTTGTAAAAGCGACATCCTAGTATGTACATTGCAGGAGCTAACTGTATATAAGCTCAACACCTCTGAACAAACTGTACAGCAGTCATCATCACCCTCTTAGCCAAACGAGTGTTGTAGTTCTTCTGTATTAGTGCTGGAATATGAATGTTTGTGTTTGTGTGTCTGTGTGTGTGTGTGTGTATGTGTGTGTGTGTGTGTACATTGTGTGCATGACTGTGCCTATTAGTTTCTAAGATCCTTTATTGTGGGTTATTGTGGGTGCAGGGCCTTACTAAACTACTCTTTACAGTGCTGCCTGTAAGGGAGGAAGTCCCTTAAACGGTGTCTCTAGCAACTGAAAAGAAAATCCTTTTTGTCGGTCGTCATGATTGTATGTGAATTAGATTCATGATAAGAGTAATAAATGAATGACATCACAACAAAATGTGTGCACTCATAAATCATACGTTGGAATCTTGCACTCATCTGTATTTGAATGCTTGTTTTTTTCATTCAACAACTACAGATTTCATGGTTTTTAGAGTACCAAAAGTAAGTAGAAAAAATATTTTTTCCATTTCACCTTTATTATTGCCAAATGGCAAACACTTGCTTGTTAGTATAGATTTGTTGCAAATGTAAAACTATACACACATATACAGAATACATGTAGATAATGCCACTCCCTTATGAATACAAATATTTATACAGCAATGAGTATTACTTTTATTACAGAATTTAAACCATACAAAGTAATGGGGGACAAAATATTAAGATGAATCAAATGAATCTTAATTTTAAAAAAAAAGTTTGGTTTAAGAACTACACCAAACCTAAAGGTTCAATCTAGACATTTCCCTGCCATGTCACACACTCCACCCACACACACACACAGCATACCAGGGAAAGAGCAATACAAGACACATTCTTAGATGAGCAAATGTCTGACTCTGGGGTGCTAAATGGTCTGCCTGTCTTACTTTTCCATATCTATGAATTAATCAATCAATTAATCTGGTATTCAAATAACTGTTCATAGCTTCCCCCCACCCATGGTCCCTGCCTGTGATGTCATAGGCAACACAGAAGAGCCCATGCAAATCACCAGTGCGGAAAAGTCCACGCAGACGATGCCTGATCAACAGGAGTTAAATTCATTCATACAATTATTAAAAATAGAATAAGAGGTCCACAAATACAAAGCATAAGAAGGTACCCAAGGAATAATATTATATTACAGTAATGATTGATGCATGTCATGCTGGTCAATTCCATGAACTTTAGTACTGTTAAAATATCACTGTTGGCCCATCTTGAAATACAGCACAGTATAGTAAATTAAAATGTAGAAACACTATCAAATAAAGGACTCTTGATCATGCGTATGTCTTTAGAGTTTAAACTTTAAAAAAGGAACATATTTCGGCAGTGCTTTAGTTGAAAGAATGTGGAGCGTTTTTTTTCTTTCAATAGTGCCGATCAGTCTCTTATGCTTTACCATCAACTAAATTGTTACCCATATAGTTAAAAACACTTGTAGTGTAGCGTTCCCATGGACATGGTGCTGACAGGCAGGCTAATGGCACTACACAGGCTCATGTGTACAAGCTGAGGGTTGGCCTGAGGTTTTCTAATGAAGCTGGATTAGGCATTAACAAGACGTAGTCGATAAAAATACAAACCGTTGGTTTTATAAAAAATCTCGAACACCGAAAAAAATACGCTAAAAGCCATAGAATGCGATGAAATTGCAATTTTGATAAATATCTTAAATAGCCTAAATCTAAACCAATAAAAGGTATCGATTGATTCAAGTATTTTGGTAAATCAAACTGCAAACTGTTTGGAGGTCCGCAAATGACACCTGGGTGCATTTTAAAAGACTCAAAGTTTGTATTACTGTGTGAAGACAGACATACAAAACTTGGCCAGAATGAGTTGAGGTTTAAATGTCATTTTTGCCTATACTGGTGAAGGGGGGGGGGGGGAGCACGCCTATAGCATAAAACACTAAATATGATTTTGTGTGGATTGTCGTCTTCTCATTGCAACAGCTCCTCCCAGGAAATGGGCTTAGAGAAGACCTCGCGCTCCAGCCAAAGGTCATAGTTCATTTGGAAGTCCTCAGGCAGCTCCACCCTCTGGCCCAGGACGCTCTGCAGGCAGTTGTCCACGGGCAGGAAGTCAGGGTTACTCTGGCTCTTGTCATAGCGGCGGCTGTTGAAGCGTTCGATGTTGGCCCGCAGAGCGCACTCCTCTGCCTGGAAGTCCCACGGCCGGGCATCCAGATCTGGGGGGGCGCACGCGTGCGTGCGTGCACGCACACGCACACACACACACACACACACACACACACACACACACACACACACACACACACACACCTATGAAGATCTACTGATAGAAGATTTACAAAACATTTTGCTTTTCAAACAAATAGTTAGCGTTATTAGTAGCCTATATTTACATTTATTAGATGCAGCGTTGAGGTGCTAGACGGTTTTTTTTGTCCACGGTCAGTATAATCTAAACCTTACAAATCAATACAAACATTGTAGGATATGATATTTATGAAGAAACAAAAGGTGTAGCAGGTCTTGCTGTCGTAAGCCAGCCACCCACCGTTGCCGTAGGCCCAGTCATCGTTGAGGCGGTGGCGGACCTTCTGGTAGATGGCAGACATGGTCTTCATGTTGCTCTTCCTCCACTGGCGGCCCAGGTACTTGGTCTGCACCTTGAGCAGCTTGAGGACGTACAGCTGCATCATGGCCTGCTTCACCTTCAGCGCCCTCTTCAGGATGGGAGCGGACTTGAACACCACCAGCATCTGGCCGAGCAAAGACACACATTTCACCCAGGGAGTAGGAGAGAGCAGAGCAGGTCAATGACATCTTTCCCCTGACGTGAGGAGTTTCTTCTTAGTTCTCCGTCACTTCTAGAGCCATTTACTAAAGAGTGGTCCTGACCAGCTCAACTGGTAGAGCACGGCATTAACATTGCCAGGGTTAGGACGTTAGGGTTAAGGGTTTCAATTCCCATTGGGACCACCCTTGCTAAAAAGAAATTATGCACCCACGGTATTGTAAGACGTTTTGGATAAAAGCCTCCACCAAAATGGCATATATACATTGTTATATATTATCATTATATTTCATCACCATGGTTCGAGAGTGCTTCCACTTGGTGAGCTTGTTCAGGATTCTCAGCAGGTTGATACAGGAGAACAGATTCCGCCAGCAGAATTGGTTGTTGTCTCCTGCTTCCTGTGGACAGCAGAAAATAAATAATATAAATAACTACATTCAAAATGCCCTTCGCATGAAATCTGAAATAATAAATCAATGCTGCTTCCGTTCACATAGCTATTCAATCGAAAGAAAAAATTACGAGAAAAAACACAAACAAACGTACCAAACTCTCTGCGGTCAACTCAGGAAGCTCATGCACCACGCAGTGAGGAAAGTCAAGTACTGAGATGCTGCAGAGGGAGAGAACAGGTGAAGTGAACAAAGAGGACTCGTCGACGGGCTTCTTCAACACGATTCACAGACAACTTCAAAACACCAAAGACCAGTCCTCCAAGTACCTATTCTTAGCGGTGATGTAGGACATTATATTCTGGTTGAAGAACTTGAGGATGAGTGGGATGCAGTTGGCAAACACCAGGTGCTGAGCCATGTACTCAAACTGTCCAGAGGGAGAACACACAGGAGGGTGAGAACAGAAGTACCTACTAGGACTACTAGTACTGCTATTAGTAACCGAACAAAGGCAACGTGTCCATTATGCTTTCAATCTGGCCTAGCCCCCCCCCCCCCCCCCCACCAATATATCTTATCTAATCTTTCCCCCCCCCCCCCCCCCCAGTGTATGTATGTATGTATGTATGTATGTATGTATGTATGTATGTATGTATGCATACACATACACATATATATATATATATATATATATATATATATATACACTCACCGGCCACTTTATTAGGTACACCTTGCTAGTACCGGGTTGGACCCCCTTTTGCCTTCAGAACTGCCTTAATCCTTCGTGGCACAGATTCAACAAGGTACTGGAAACATTCCTCAGAGAGTTTGGTCCATATTGACATGATAGCATCACGCAGTTGCTGCAGATTTGTCGGCTGCACATCCATGATGCGAATCTCCCGTTCCACCACATCCCAAAGGTGCTCTATTGGATAGAGATCTGGTGACTGTGGAGGCCATTTGAGTACAGTGAACTCATTGTCATGTTCAAGAAACCAGTCTGAGATGATTCACGCTTTATGACATGGCGCGTTATCCTGCTGGAAGTAGCCATCAGAAGATGGGTACACTGTGGTCATAAAGGGATGGACATGGTCAGCAACAATACTCAGGTAGTCTGTGGCTTTGACACGATGCTCAATTGGTACTAATAAGCCCAAAGTGTGCCAGGAAAATATCCCCCACACCATTACACCACCACCACCAGCCTGAACCGTTGATACAAGGCAGGATGGATCCATGCTTTCATGTTGTTGACGCCAAATTCTGACCCTACCATCCGAATGTCGCAGCAGAAATCGAGACTCATCAGACCAGGCAACGTTTTTCCAATCTTCGATTGTCCAATTTTGGTGAGCCTGTGCGAATTGTAGCCTCAGTTTCCTGTTCTTAGCTGACAGGAGTGGCACCCGGTGTGGTCTTCTGCTGCTGTAGCCCATCCGCCTCAAGGTTCGACGTGTTGTGCGTTCAGAGATGCTCTTCTGCATACCTCTGTTGTAACAAGTGGTTATTTGAGTTACAGTTGCCTTTCTATCAGCTCGAACCAGTCTGGCCATTCTCCTCTGACCTCTAGCATCAACAAGGCATTTGCGCCCACAGAACTGCCGCTCACTGGATATTTTCTCTTTTTCGGACCATTCTCTGTAAACCCTAGAGATGGTTGTGCGTGGAAATCCCAGTAGATCAGCAGTCTCTGAAATACTCAGACCAGCCCGTCTGGCACCAACAACCATGCCATGTTCAAAGTCACTTAAATCACCTTTCTTCCCCATTCTGATGCTCGGTTTGAACTGCAGCAGATCGTCCTGACCATGTCTACATGCCTAAATGCATTGAGTTGCTGCCATGTGATTGGCTGATTAGAAATTTGCGTTAACGAGCAGTTGGACAGGTGTACCTAATAAAGTGGCCGGTGAGTGTATATATATATATATATATATATCATCTTTCTTATGTATTTCTTTTAGCCTCCTAGTTTTCGTAATAAAAACACTCTACAAATCCAATATATTATTATGATTAATATGATTAAGACTGGTGTGAAACCTGGTAGATGTGGTTGAGTTTGAAGTGCTTGAGAAGCAGCAGGAGGACAGCAGATATGGCCTTCACGATGATCTCCTTGTGGCGGTTGACGTCCACGCCCAGCTTCATGCTCTGCAGCACGGTGGTCCTGCAGAGGTCAACACACACATATACGTGATCAAAGGGACCATTACCAACACAACTGATGGTCCTGATCCACCATGTGCCCACTGGGAGTCCATACCTTTATTCACTCCATCTCTGAGCCCATCTCACTCCACTCTGCATTTCAACAGTTACGTTTTAAAACAATAATCACATATCCTATCAGTGTGACTATATGTACAGCACCTTATTAGAATCAACTGAAAACAGAATGGAAAAAATTGCGATGAATGCCATTTTATTGTCCAGCTTCAGTTTGGCAGCAAAGTGGCTTTGTGTGTTTTTTCATGAATTGATGACAAGCCAGCCAGGCTGCCGCCCTGGGCTAAGCCTGCGTTGGGAGTGGAGTGCGAGGAGAAGCACATGACTCACGGCATCTCCTCGGGCAACACGTCCGCCAGGATGTTGATGGAGTCTGTTTTGGCCTTGGAGGTGGGTGCTGCCGCAAGCAGGATCTTCAGTAAGGCAATCTGGCATTAAGGGAGACACACAGCCGTCAGTCAGGAGTAGACCAGGGCCTGCCAATGTTCCTCTCAGCTACGACACAAACACACTCCTCACTGATTAGTCTTGTGGCAGAGTATGTGTCGATTAAATGTATACATGATCTGCTCCAATTGCTGAGGAGATTCAAACACTGCTTCCAGATGCATAGAAAAGCAACATTAATATGTGGCCGCTTTCCCTTCATCTTTCCCACTGCTTTGATTATAATGGTGTTTTAGAACTGTAGCAATGACATGTACTCGAACGGTAATACAAGTAGGTAGCCAAGTGAGAACAACACAGGGATTGGAGTAGTTACCATATACTGAGGCAAGCTGGGCAGAATACCCTGGTAGAGCAGCTCAGTGGCACTCATCTCCACATCCTCTTCCCCCTGTGAACATAAAGAGAAAATAAAGTATTGTTCACTGTACATAACATACAGGATATTAACTAGTAGTAACAGTAGCAGTAGTAGTAGTAGTAGTATTACAGGCAGTGTGCTTGTTGAAACTTACCCCTGATAGTGGAGTTTTTTGAAATTCTTCCTCCTTTAAAATCTGAATCTCTGCTATCGAGACATATTTGTGCTATTAAAAAAAACACAATTAAAGATCAAATGCCAGAAGAGAGAAAAATACCTGCACTAATAAAGAAGTATCTCTGTGAGTAAGAGTCGTCTGTAGAGCACAAATTATAGTTTTGCAATACCTGCTTCAGTGTCTTAATGCTCTCATGGATTGGTCTGGGTAGGCCAACAATGGTATCTGTATCACTGTAGAAAATAAGGCCTTTTAAAACCAAATCATCTGGAGTATACTATGCATTATGTAGTCCCACAAAAAGCATCTTAATTTTTTATATAAATGGAGACTTACTTCCCAAGAGTGTATCCAATGAATTTACTTCTACTTGACTCCAGGAAATTTTCAATGTCCTTTTCCCTGTTAAGACAATATAATTGGCATATCATAATTGAGACCATTAAAAGTATATGTCAAAAAGGGACACCACATTTGGAGATGATCCTCAATAGGCTTAGTGACACATTTATGAGGCATTCATCTTGGAAAAAAGTCCACACACCTGACTTTGGGGGCCCAAGGCAGGCCCTTAGGGAAGGACACCCTCTCTGACGGAGGGTGGGGTATGGGTGGAGGCATGACCTCGTCCCGCTCGATAGGAAAGGGCTCCGTCTCTAGGGCATTGTCGTTGTCGTCGTGGTCATCCTCTTCCTCGCGGGCGTCGTCCGCCTTGTACGGGTCCTTCTCGTTAAACGCGTCCAAGTTGTCCTGTTTGGTCAGTGACTGAAACCACAGCAGATCACAAATAACGACTTGATGTTGTGATAACCGTCTTAAAAACAGGACACAGAAAGCCAAAAGACTAGGGTACTCCATCAATGCCCCAAAATTGAAATAAGATAAGATATTACTTTTTTTATTGATACTATACTTTTGATAAATATTTTGCTTTAAGTGCATTTAAAATATGCATTCAGGCATCAACCTGTATTGCAAATTTGACTATTTTCCATGCATCAAGTCTGATTCAATCCCTCACGGACTCTCATACTTTGTGTTCGCGACGGGCGCGCTTCTGCTGCTGCTCTATGAGGTCGGAGGCGGAGGCGGGGGGGGAGGCAGCCCGCATACTCCTGATGACCCGGATGCTGTCCTCTGGAAGAGGAGGCAAGCCCAGCTCCTCACGTTTTCCCACCTTGATGTTCTGGAGCTGCTCGAACCCGCCCAGTGTGAACTACAGAGACAAGATACAAAAAAAAAAAAAGATGTTAGATTAGTCAAGGTTTGACCCGTTATCATCGGTGAACTAAACTGCAAATTGAACATGATCATTTCGGTAACACACTTGTATCTAAACACAGTGAATAGAGATACAGCTCCACAAGGAATAGATGGGGGTGAGGCATCTTAGTAGTTGCAGAAATTGCCTCAGAGTCAAACACCAGAGCCACACTATACTATACTGCCCCCCCTTCAGATTACAACCCTGATTAAAGCTATGTAGATGTCAACTTTAAAACAAATGTGTTCCTCACCAGTATACTCTTCCACAGCAGTAACAGGACCTTCTTCATGGGGAAG